TGTTGTTGGTGGCCCATCCTTCCGTACGCCCAAAACTGATTCGCAGGCCAAGTACTGGCAGCGAATGTTCAACAATGGGCACAAGAGGAAGCACACCATGAAGTTCCAAGGGGTAATTACACCAGACGGGCTATTTGTGGATCTGTGGGGGCCCGTGGCGGGGACACGTCATGACAGCTTTATTCTAGCGCAGTCTGGGTTTTGATGGAGAAGTTGTCGATGCTAAACAGCCCTACAGGCCATCCGTACTGTTTGTACGGAGATCCGGCGTATGGACTGAGCAATCACCTTGTCTGTCCTTTTAGCGCGTCAAGTGTCGGCCCTCTAACGCCAGAGATGGCCGACTTCAACAAGCGTATGAGCCACTGCCGCGTAACGGTGGAGTGGGGCTTCAAAGAGATGACCGGCAAGTGGGCCTTTGTGAACATGAAGCCGCAGCCGAAATTCTTGCTAAGCCCTGTCGCCAAGCAGTACCGGGTAGCCACTCTGCTTTCTAACTGGCACTCATGCATGAACGGGGGCAACGAGATTTCGCAATACTTTGGCGTGGTGCCACCCACTTTCGAGGAGTACGTAGCGGTGTAAATCATGATGCACCCACGTTGTGTGATAATTCTAGGCCGCTTCGGTGTTCCAGGCGTAAACCAAGACAAATAGCCGTTTGCTGGCGTGAGCAAGTCGCGCACGATAGACTTTCCGATTTTATGTGAGTTTATAATGATCAGCGCCAAGATTATTTTTTCTCCTTGGTCGTTTAGGTGGGCANTCATGATGCACCCACGTTGTGTGATAATTCTAGGCCGCTTCGGTGTTCCAGGCGTAAACCAAGACAAATAGCCGTTTGCTGGCGTGAGCAAGTCGCGCACGATAGACTTTCCGATTTTATGTGAGTTTATAATGATCAGCGCCAAGATTATTTTTTCTCCTTGGTCGTTTAGGTGGGCAAACGCGGGCGATGCACAGGGCAAGCACGGACGGTGTATGTATATCGTACGGGTGTATAAGCGTTGCGTAACAATCGGATGCCGCGGTTATTGGAGACAGTTAGTTTGGAGGGTTTTAACGGTTAAATTCCTGGGAGCTAAATTGTTTGGTGCGAAGAAGTCGTCTCCTCCTTGCTGGTCATTTATTATGTGGGCAAACGCGAGCGGATGCATAGGGGAAGTACGGAATGTATCGTGCGGGTGAAGCACTGCGCAAAAGACAGACGCCACTTGTTGGATGCCAGTTTCATTTTTCAATTGTTCCTCCTGATAAAAGATTCCCCCGAACAGGCAAGCCTCCCCCAAAAACAACGCGCAAGGCGCAACGGATGCCACGATATTTTTTTGAAGAGCCTGCTGTTGAAAACAAAAAACACATCCAACGCATGCCCTAGCAACTGCAGCAGCAGCAAGGGCGAAAACCCATTCCCATTTTTCCCTACCCCGAACAGGCAAGCCCTCCCCGAAAAAAACACGCAAGGCGCAACGGACACCACGATATTTTTTTAAGAGCCTGCTGTTGAAAAAAACAAAAACACATGGAACGCATGCCTAGCAACTGCAGCAGCAGCAAGGGCGAAAACCCATTCCCATTTTTCCCTACCCCGAACAAGCAAGCCCCCCCCGAAAAACACGCGCAAGGCGCAACGGACGCCAAGATATTTTGAAGAGCCTGCTGTTGAAAAAAACAAAAACACATGGAACGCATGCCTAGCAACTGCAGCAGCAGCAAGGGCGAAAACCCATTCCCATTTTTCCCTACCCCGAACAAGCAAGCCCCCCCCGAAAAACACGCGCAAGGCGCAACGGACGCCAAGATATTTTGAAGAGCCTGCTGTTGAAAAAAACAAAAACACATGGAACGCATGCCCTAGCAACTGCAGCAGCAGTAAGGGCGAAAACCCATTCCCATTTTTCCCTACCCCGAACAGGCAAGCCTCCCCGAAAAACACGCGCAAGGCGCAACGGATGCCACGATATTTTTTTGAAGAGCCTGCTGATGAAAAAAACAAAAACACATGCAACGCATGCCCTGGCAACTGCAGCAGCAGCAAGGGCGAAAACCCATTCCCATTCTTCCCTACCCCGAACAGACAAGCCCCCCAGAAAAAAACGCGCAAGGCGCTACGGACACCACGATATTTTTTTGAAGAGCCTGCTGATGAAAAAAACAAAAACACATGCAACGCATGCCCTGGCAACTGCAGCAGCAGCAAGGGCGAAAACCCATTCCCATTCTTCCCTACCCCGAACAGACAAGCCCCCCAGAAAAAAACGCGCAAGGCGCTACGGACACCACGATATTTTTTTGAAGAGCCTGCTGTTGAAAAAAAACAACAACACATGCAACGCATGCCCTAGCAACTGCAGCAACAGCAACCCCAACCAGTGGGGATGGATGTCTGACCGGCGGCGGACAGCCCGGAGTTCGTCACGCCGGCGCCAAGCACCAACAACCTCGCCACCCGCTTCGTAACCTGAATCACCTTGTCCGGCGTAACACGTTGTATGGGCCATCCGCTGTGAAAACCAATTCGATTCCGGCAGGCTGCGGAAGTTCATCATTTCCACGCCGTAGAGTTCGAGCAGTTTAAACATGACCGACTCGTCAAACCTATCAAACCCGGGCAGCTGCATATCCNACCATCATGGCCACGGCCCTTTCCGGCTGAACTTCGTCGGGCGTGAAGCCCGTGTTGAGGAAGTAGTCCGCCTCCTCCGTGGTGACCCCGGCACTTTGCGCAAGCGTCGGAATGCTCAGCGACCCCATGTGCTTCACCAATTCGCCAAGCGTTGGAAACTTCCTCGATGGCCCGCTCTCCGCGGGCGATAAGTCGTCGTCTAGCCCGCCCGAACTCATGGTCGGACTCGATCGACCGCTGGCAGCGCCACCCGCCGAAGCCTCCGACGCGGGCCTCGCCCCCCCGATGCTGCTGGCCGGACTCACCCGACCGCTGGCACGGCCACCGTCCACTGCACCGGAGCGGGAACCCAACGCGATGTTGTCGGCGGCAACAGCTTCTTCGAATGATGTAGCCTTCGCGCCCGGCCCGCATCGGGCGTTGCCCTGGTTGATGGCCCACATCCCCATTGCGGATTGCGAGGCCGCCTCGTCGGCTTTCTTCTGCTTGGTCTCCTCCAAGTCCTGCCTCGCGGCAGCCTTCGCGTCCACTATCGCGGTCAGAACTTTGTCCTGTGCGGCACATCGCGGACAAGAAGCAACAGCGGCGCGGCAGCTCGTCAGCTCTACGACTTACAAATTGCATCACTAGCGTCGGCGATAGCTGCATGCATCGTCTGTTTTGTACGTCCGTGTCAACACTGCTACGTCACGCCCCTAAACAATACAGAGTGGGAGTGAAAACCTCGACGCTGTTTTGATTTTGTGGGTGAAGGACCGTCTCAGCAAGCTAACTCTCTGCACGTTTTGCGTCGCCTGGCGTGTAGCACTCGGGCTTTCGTGCTGTCTATCTACTTCTGTCTTTCTTTTGTCATGCTGCGCATTTTAAGTTGGACTTACGGCTAACCCTGTGCGTACCCCTCTTATCTGCAAGTGTAACGTTGGTGACGACGGCAGGCATTTTCTTCGGTCGGGACAGCGCAGGTCTTTCACGATACTCTATGGATTGTGGATTCTCCATGTGCACATACTCGTGCCCGTCTTGTTCAGACTGTGCCATGATCGTGTACACTCAGGCTTGCGCCCGTCACAAAAGGTACAGATAGCTAACTGGCTCTAGACCGCTCACCAGCTGGACCTTGGTATTCTTCTCTACTTCGTCCTCCAAGCCACTCTCAGCAGTGCCGGCTCTGGAGTCCCGCAGGCTTTACCATCGCTCTTGCTCTGGTCGTCAACGATCTTGTCGTAGCGCGACTTGCAATTTTTGGACGTCTTATCCTTGAACATCCTGACCAAGGGCTCCTGGTTGAGAGTCTTCCAGCAGGTGTCCCACCTTTCGCCGACCAAACGCCCGCTCCAATTCACTTTCCACACTTCGTTCTGCAGACCTGTAGAGGACAAGGGTGGGAGCGCCTTTGAATGTTGTAGTGAGGACTTGCTTCGGCTCATTTTTTACACCAGATACATGTGCGTTTTGAGTAGAGGAGGGAGCATAGGTCTCGCCGATAAACGAGTCCGTGAACACCGGCCGTCTTGCAGCGCACGGAATGGCT